AGAATGTGATGATTAACACTTGACACAATCTAGCCAAGCCACAGGATAGTTATTCTTTTATATTAAGTAGGAGAGGATTTCTTCATAAAAGTTCTGTTTTCACTAGGCTTTATATATCAAACATCTTAAATGCAATGTAAAATAACAAAAAAAGTTTCACCTAGTGAATTCTTCCTGAATCCAGGCAGATTCTCAGACCCTTAGATTTGTGACACAATTTCTGTTCTACGTTGATAAACCCAGCAAGGGAGGGAACAGTACCAAAATCTTCCCCATCTCTAAGGTGCACATGCTACACTGCAGAAATATGAAGGTATAAACTTATTACACAAGGATTAGATTCTGACACTTTTCTCCCTTGCTGGGTAGTCACATGGTATAAAGCAAATTATTACCCCAACTATGCAGAGGGTATTGCAAACCCCAACAAAAACCCTATTTTCATGAGCACAGGAACCTACAACACCTCCAAGGCTGAACCTGGTACTCACTGGCAGATTTACCTGGCAGATTTTTGAGGCTGGGGGTAAATAGACCATTGCTTTTCTAAGCCCACCTAACTGAGCTATCTGAGTTAGGAGCCTATGCTTTCTAAAAAGTCAACAGAGAGAGGTAATATATTTCTGGACACATCCCCCACATAACTGCTCCAGAGCCTTCAGTCCTCTGAACTTCCATCCACAGGGAACCTGCTTTCTCTTGCTTTCTCTCTCTCTCTCTCCCCACTGGTAACAGAGCTTAGCCTTCCAGCACAGAAACACAAAACTACTCTCACAGCTCTAGCCTTTGCTTCCCTTAAAACTCTATAAAAATATTTGCTTTCATCAGGAAAAAAAAAAACAAAAACAACCACACCTGATTTCTCTTGTGAGCCTTATTTCACCTCTCAAGTGTTCCTGAAAGACCATAAAGAGACATGTATTTATGAGATGCTGCCAAAACACAGTGAGCTGGTGGTGATTTCATTTCTGTTTGTCCACAGCACTCTTTTTCCTAACCAAGCTTCTTAGATAGCGGAGTAATGAATTCTGAGCAAAAGCTGCAAAAACATTAAATTAAATTTTCCAAAAATGCAAAATCTCTTAATTTTCCTTAATTTTATCTTATATATTAAAATATCTTATTTCCATGCTTTTAAATTAGTGGGTGGCTACACTGTTCTAAGAAACACAAGCAGAACACAAAATCTATTTGAGAGAAAAAAGGAAAATTTACTGTGGTGAAAAGGGAAAGACAAAAACATGAAGAAATTCTACAATATCTTTAAAAGAGGGAAAAAAGCAAGAGGCAGGTATGTCTACATATCTGTTTTTACCTCCATGTACCTACTGCATTCCTCAGCAATTGAATATCCTGCCTCCACAAAAGGTGTCGTCCAGGAGCAGTGTAACACTACAGGACATGCTACCAAGAATGGCCCATATCATTTACAGCCTGATTCAGTTCCAGCTGGAGTCACAGGAAATCGTGGTGATAGGAATGACCAACAAACTGCTAGAGCTGTAATCAGGAAAATGTAACAAGTCACCAGCACCATCCAGAAAGGTACAGAAAGGATGGCCACTTATGCAGGAAGATTCTTTTCTCCTCTTCAAGTATAGCAGCAGCTAGAGTGAGAGAGAGGGAAATACAGAAAGTCTTGATCTCGGTTTAATTGAAAGTCAGTGCAAATATATCAACAAAGCTCAGGCAAAATTCAGAATTCCACGCGCTCTAGGCTGAGCCTCACAAGCTGTGGCTTGTGGCTCTGTTGAAGATTTTTCTTCAACTTCTCAGCTGCTTCTTCTTTACACGAGCACATCTGCAAGCACACCGGTACTGCCCTCAGCCCTGCCTCAGCTCTCCTTCCCCCTTCATCGACTCAAATTTATGCCAAGACCACAACAACAAAAGCATGCAGACTCTGACTCCCTCTACTTTCAGTATCTGGTGGGGTTTTTTCCCTCTTTAAGGCAGCATCTTATATTTCCATGTGAACAACTGCTGTGCAACATTATCAAGTCTTCCCTCAGCCTCGTTATTTTGGTTTAGGGCAGGTGGTTGTATTGCATATTGCAGATAATAATAAGAAATCTCTACAGTCACCAGAAATCTGCTCAAATCAGAAAAAGCAAACACTGCAATATATTTTGTTGTAGCTAATTTGCTTGTACATTTCACAGAAAGATAAATCCACCTGGGTTGAGGATGTTTACAACTGAATCTCAAGAGAGAAAATGTAAATGGGAATTTTTCTTTCCCACAGCTTCCCATACAGTACTCATATAAATACTGAATATAATGTGTGTCTGGTTAGATAGAGATGATGATACAAAAGACTTGGAGCAACCAACAAATACTTGAGAGCTTAATGATGATGTGAAAGACATGAGCCACCACTGAGTTTTATGATTTACTGGGTAAAATGCTCAGCAACTTCCATGGCAGGATTTGGCACGACATCAGCAAATTCCGTATCTGCTGAAACACACTAGATAGTTCAAAACACTTTGGATTTTGGTTAATATACTATGATTTGGACTGGATATTAAAATTTGGCTGAAATATTTTTATTATAGTCATTACAACATTATGCCTTCAGTGCATTTGCCTTCCTGTAGACATAAGAGCAAAGCATAATTGTGTCTTTGGGAAAAGGTTTGGGTTCATGACAAGTAGTGTTCATCCCACAGACATCCTAACCCCGCTTAGCTCACACAACTCTTCCTAAGAAATCTCTCTAAGGGCAGGTAAGGAACTTCTGTTCATAAAAACTCCCTCCAGTGAGGAATCAGAAAGCATCCCATGTGAATCAGGGCCAATAATTATAACCAAATGTTGAATAAAAAATACCCAAAACATATTTTTACCCAAACAGCATAGAGATACCCATAGATATGCTTTCTGATCATACTTATAATAAAGTATACTGAGATTATTGGAAGCTGGAAAGAGACTTGGAAGCCCAAAGCTCATTACATTTCATTCCTTAAAAAATATCATCCTTCACCATCATGGTGAAGGTACAAATACCTTTGCAAATACCAAGAACTCATTCTGGACTTTGATAGCCAAAGTCAGTTTAAATCTGTACAATTTTAAAAAAAGCTGTAAACAAAATTCAAGAAACTTTATTTTTACTATCCCTACACATCTCCCATTTATATTATCTCTCATTTGCAACTCTGCTCTGCAGTATGCTATTCTAAATTAAACACCTTGCATACTGCACCTCTGGCATGCAGATGCTTCAATTACAGCTGACAGGCACGATTCTGCTGAAAAGAGTTTCAGTTTAGAGAAAAGTTAGGATAATTTTCACATATTCCAATTCACAGTGGTAATGGTTTCCCTGCTCACCGTTCTTCAGTGAAATGGAGGGAATAATGCTTGAATAATCTAAATTTCCTCTACACAAAAATCCTAAAGCAATTCTCAGAGTAGCAGTAAAATGGGAGAGCACCACCTCTGGAACACTTTCAGTAGTTAAATGTATTAATAATTATATTTACTTCTTTAGTTGAAATAAAATTTGCAGCTGTACACTCTTCTCCTGAAAGGCTTCCTCTCTTCCCTTTCATGCTCCCTCATGGTTAAAATCTAGTGGCTTTTTTTTATTCCAGTGAGGGTATGGAGGGGTGCGTAGCAGACATTTTATTTGTGAAATAATCTGATTGACACCTACAGAAGGAAAAGTCATATAACAATGCATCCCTGTTATGTGAATACCTTTGTGTATCAGTAAGTGATAATAAAGATACTGTTTCTTAGTTACATGTGCATATATTCACTTTATACAACAGACTTGATTGGAGAGGTTTGAAAAATGGTCTGATGTTCAACAAATATGCACAATATTGTGGAAGGAAGAACTCCTTTCAAAGGTATTAATCCTTCTCTGTCTATGGAAATAAATGGTACCACACTCCTCACTGACCACACTAAACTTATGGCTGTCGGTGTTTGATACTGTATTAACAGCTTTAGTACTATTAATATACAATTAATTAGTTGTCACTAATACACTATGAACAAAGAACTACAGTGGGTTGGGTTTTGGTTTGGGAAGTGAAAGAATAAAAGAAATACTATACAGCCCTGAGTAATCACCAGTAAGGGGCAAATGCAAACTTACGTACACATTAGGCCTCAAGGTTACTAATAAAGTCCACAGCTCCATAGTAAGTGCCATATAGTGATATCTAAAAATATATACTCTGGATTAGGCAGCTGTGAAATTTCTGACAAGATTACTGCAAACTTTTCAATGAACTTACTTTGTAATGGTAAGTGCATGTGCAATATAAGAAAAGCATTTGTACATGAACATTAACCAATATCCATGGGGCTTCCTTTTGGTACACAGCAGTTCACATGTTTGGGGTCACTGCCTTCCCATCTACTGTCTGTCAGTCTAGAAGGAACATCCTAATTTTGTGCTAACACACTGTATTTTATTTATTAAGGTCCTGGGGTTTGGGGGTTTTTTTAATTATTATTTGGCTTTGAAAATGATTATGAAGCTAAAATATATTTTTGGAAGTCTTAGCTTTCTGTTCTCTTTTACTTTTGAATCTGTGCAAATGCATCCCTATTTCTTGTTGTCTGTGTCATACTACATGCATACCATATTGCTTATCCAGCACTAGAAAATCATTAAACATTTCTAAGGACAAAAGTACATTGAATGATACTTAGCAACATAAATTAGAATAACCGAAATAGTAAAATAATTAGGTACAAAACAGCATAGTTGCCAACATATATTGGGGCTATTTCAGTACAACTTGCCATTTATATATAAAGCACACATAAATGGCTATTTTTTATCCTTTTTAACAAGACATATTTTAAAAGGATAGATCAGAGCATACCAGTTTACCTATTCATGTACAAAAGTACATTGGGAAAGGGAGAGGTTTACGTATCATTTACCAGAGCAGGATACTGTTAAAGGAAAATTCTCCCTCTAAGATGGTGGCAACTATTCTTTCCCTATAGATAAAGTGTTCATGGAAAATTTAAACATCTGATTCAATGCTAGGCCTTTTCTTATACACACGTGTATTGCTACAGGAATTTAAAACCCTTGGAGTTGAGTACAAGCTATTCCTATTTGCAACGTAAGGCAAAACATGCTCTGAAATGTACATGTCATTATGGATCCGACCATCCCTGGAAGAGTATGATGCTGTAGACTGTATGGATGACCTTAAATAATTATCATTTCTTCCTCTTGTTGGCAATGAATGTTTATAAAGATCAGCTGGGCTTCGCCTAAGAGATAAATGCTGGTCATCACGATAGGAGTGCAGGAAGGGGTTATCATCCGAGTGAACAGCGTACAGGGACTTGCTCCTCTTACTGTCCTCCAGAGCATGGGTTAAAAGTGAGGCCTTGTTGCTCAACAGTTTGCTTGAGGGAACACTAAACATGCTTGCATATGGACTACTTTGAAGAAATTTCTCTCTTTCTTTCAAGCTTATACTGCGAGAAGGTCTTCCAATATCAATTTCCCTGGATTTATCAGCGATATTATCAAAAGAGTGTTGCCTGCTAATCCTCAGTTTATTCTTTTTATGATATTGCAGAGCACTACTTTGTGACCAAGTACGCTCATATATTTCTTCAGGAAGTGATAAGTTCGTTGTATCCTGCAGCATCTGATCTTCCTCAATGTCATAGAGGTTCCCCATCCGCAAGCACGCGTCACATTTATAGGGAGATCTGGTCGAGTAGTGCCCCGCGTAGGTGGGCATGTTGGAGAGACAGCTCCTGCAGTGCGTGGAATTCTGCCTGAACCTATCGTTCATGTCACCTAGGGAAGTATTTTTTTCTTTGAGAGTGTAGTGCTTTCCAAAGAGTTTATACTGGTCATTATTTGGAAGACTGTCTTCATTATGTGATGGAGTCCTGTTGGCGTGTTCGGCTTTCCTGTAGTTGTCGTTGTGATCTTGGTAAGCATCAGGAAGCTCTACAGGTTCTGGAAGGACAATGTTTTCGATGTACTGAGGTGTGTCCAAGCGGAATCCTGGCTCCTTGTCAGCATCAATCGTGTAGATTTTATCCCGTGGAGAGCCCTGTTTGGTTTTCAGATATGTCAGTTCCACATCACTAGTGTCTTTTGGGTATTTTGATGCTACTGTCCTTTTTTTAAAATTGTCCTTGGTTTTGTGGTGCTTGTTGTTGTTTTCAGCTTCCATGTGGCAAGTAGCTCTGCTTGATGTCTCTGAGACATCTGAATGGACAATCTCTTCAGGAAGGAATCTTTGGCTTTTCAATGAAAGCTGCCTGTTTTCCTCAGACCCATTTTCTCTCTGGGAACCTTGGCCCTGACGTACAGAATCTTGGCGTAAAGATTCAACAGATTTCATCCAAAGCTGCCTGGGCCGGGAGTTCACTTTTGTTTCTGTTGTTACTGCAACCTCTACTGTATTTGGATTGGATTCATTCAGTGTGAGAGGATGCTGCCCTTGGAAAACATAATTGTTCAGATTGTCCTTGTGTCGATTGCCAGGAAGTGTCTGCAGTTCACTTATGTTGTCACCAAAAAAGTTGTCCTTTGTCTGAAAGGATCTGTTATCAGAAAATACCAAGTTTCCCTTATCCATGACCATGTCCATAATCAAAGAACCCCTCTGAATAAAATCAGCTGTTCTTTTGGGGGAGTCAATTCTTGAAGGGTTGATATTGGTCATGTTTTTCGCTGTTCGCAGCAGTTTTAACATGTTGGTTTGTGAATTGGTCAAAGAAAAGTCAGGAGACTTCTTCTTCTCTTCAATGTGTACTCCATGAATGCAACTGTAAATACCCTGTAATAAAAGACAAATTAAATCACTAGGTATAACTTTTTACAACTTCTACTTTAGTTTTAATTAGCAATAAAGAAAAATTAGACATTTCTTATCTCATTACTGGAAAGATTAAAAGCACATCTCCAACTTTTTATCATTTCCTTGCATTGAAATGGAGGAATATTTTCTGCTATATCTATTAGAACTACAAAGGAGAAAAACTGCCAGTATTTCACAAACCAGTGGTCTGTCTTGGCCTCCCCAGCTTATTCCACAATACAAGATTAGAAGGTACCCCAAAGGCTTCCCTAATCTTGTCACAAAATGAAACTAATCTTCAGTAATAGATACTTTCTTATTTTAAACCAGTGATTCAGTTTCCCCTCTAAACAAGCCTGTAGTGGGACTACTTTATTGGAGATTAAGGTATTCTTCACTTGTACTAAAATAAAAAGGCTTCTAGCCATCATATTTTAGCTTTTCTGATCCCTATCTCAGTACATGTCAAAAAACCCAGCTCTTTTTAAAGCTGCATCTGAGTTAATTTTGAGCAAAAGGCTGAAGCCCATTTTCTCATGTCAACCTCTTTGGTCACTCCTGTGAGCCCAATTGACATTTCCAACCATGTGAACTAGCAATTCTCAGACATTTACCTTTGGCATAAATACTTCTTTTCCCCTGCAATTCTTAGGAGAATTTCATATAAAAAAGGCCAGAAACATAAAGTTCAAATATAAAATGTGGAGGTTAAGGTGCATGTGGTTTCTAGACAATCCCCAACAGGGTAGTGCAGACTATTTTTAATGCAGTTCCAAAATGCTCCAATATACTCAACAGGGTAATTGCAGCACACTTTAAAGCAATTAGCCATTTTAGTATCATTTTCAGTTCTCCTCAGCTTTATAAAAAATCCAAAAAAATCAATTACCTAATGAAAGTTCTATCTATTTTAAAAATATATAAAGAAAAAACCCAACCAATTTGTCAAAAATAATAGAATAAGCTACATTTCCATATTTTTTACAAGTATCAGTTTCTTGCATAAGTAAATCCCCTTTGGGTCGGGTAAAGTTATCATTAAAACTTGCCTTAGTGTCTAACCAGACATAAATGATACCTGTGTTTGACCTTTTCTCATACAGTTTATTCAAGTTTTTTATCAAAAAAAGCTTACAAAAATATTCTACTGTATTTTTATAAGTTAAAATTCTCTTGCTTAAGAAATACACAAAGCCGACAGCTAATGTCTCTTATCAAATTAGTATTTATTTTGTTTGGATTTTTAATGTGGAAATTAACACATTTCCTGCACCTACCATTTCTTCATCGAAATTTCCCTTTACTGTATTTGTTTTCAGTATTCAATTACTGATTATCCTGGTATAAAATAATTCATACCCTAAAAAATCCAATGGATTAAGACTTCCCAAGGGGTGCAAGTACATCCTAAGCCCATTGACTACTCCAGAGCACCACACTGCTGCTCTAACCCAGATTTTAAATGTTCAGGTGGGAATAAAAGGAAGGATAATATTTTATGAAGGCAGCGTTTATTCCTTCTGTTGCCTAAAGGGGAAAAATGAAAGCAGTACTGACCCTGCTGATTGAGAACAGCAATCCTGGCCTATCTGAGCAGACTCCAGTGAAGCAGAATCTGAGTTTCCAGTAAAATAAGTGCTCCCAGACAAAGGTTATTAAGCTGAGTGCCATGGCTGCTGCGAGCATGTAAAACACTCCTGCCATGTTGTCGATGTCCAGCTGGCTGCTCATGACTTCGTTCTTCTCGTTGTGACAAATACCAGTCAGCCACAGGGTTTCTAACTCTTCCATTTCCCCTAGGGAGAGCAAGGAGTCAAACCAGTTAAAATGCAAAAATCACTGCTCACAGAATTCGAAAGTCTTTGCAAGTTTAAAAATACAGCACCATTTAATGCTTCATTCGTGGAGCACTGCAGACTTATCGAGCCAGGAGTTGCAAATATAGCAGATTTCAACTCACAGCGCTCTAGTTTCAGATGTCCTCAGATTTCATAAATTACGTGGGAAGCTGGATGCTCTAGAAAGCAGGATCTGTGGTTTAGACAGAACTTTCTTCTGCTTGCTATAACTATTAGGACTTGTTATAGAGAGTGGAGTGAGTTAGTGAAGAGCTGGGACAGGCTGTAGTGATCAGAGGGAGAACTCGTCAGAGAAGCATCCTGACATTCAACCAGACCCTTTCATGCCCCGTCCTCTCCACTGCCCTGCACTTGGTACCTCCCTGATCCACTCTGACCCTCCTTTTGGCCCTTCCCTTTAACATCACAAGACACATTTCACAAATTCTTGTGATTCTTTTAGAGTGTGCCATGAGAAGTTTGTTCTTTCCCATCTGATCCGTGATTACATTATTTCTTCTTTGCAAATAAGCTGCAGTATTGTGGCTGAAGCTCTCCTGACACATCTGGTCTCTGCATTTATCTCTGGTATCTATTCCCTTGTGTTGCTGCCATTCCAGATTCCTGGGCAGCACCAGAAACACCAACAGCCTCATCCCATGCCTGAAATGGGGCATTGCTGCCTCTGGCTGTGCCACATCCTTACTGCCATTAAAACGCTTCGCTTACAGCTAAGGAAGCAAATCCACTCCCTCCCTCTCCTGTGCATTCTTAACTTTGAATCCATATTTCACTGATGAGATTTGACCTCAGATGAAGGACACTGTCACCTAGCAGTGCTTGCTACTGTCAGCATGGACAGAGGTGGGCAAGAAACTGCAATTGTTCCTGCCAACATTTTATTATTATTATTTTGCATGATTGAGTAATTTTCAAATATTTAGTGTTGTTCTTACTGAAGCAATGCATGGGCATACAGGCCTTTTACTCTCTTGGGATATAGTCAGCTGAGTAATTATTTTATAATTTTTAAAGTCATAAACTTCATTGTTTATAGAAAATACAGCAGGCAATGTAGAGGGTCAAAAAGGACAGTATTAAAAGGACAGTATTAGCTTTCTTGGTGTGTTTTCCAATTTAAGATATGGCTTCAATATGGGGAAAGAATTTCCATGGTACCAATCCCTAATCCTTAGCCAGTGATTAGGGAATACATTTTCAGTATTATTATAATTCACACATCACTGGAAAAAAAGAACAGAAAAAAATGGCTAGAAGCTATATTGACATTTCAGCTACCTTCAAGCTAGACTAGAAGATCAATGACCTGCTGTGAAAAAGCATTTTGCAGGATAGAGTGCCAGGGCACCAGGAAAGCTGTAGCCCACAGATAATTTGGATGTGAGTTCCAATTGGAAATGGAACACAACACTGTGATGGAGAAATTGCTTCTCAGAGAATGTGAATGAAAAACTGAAGTAGAAAGGACAAGTTCTGATGCACTTTAGCAAAGGCATTTCACAAATTTGTAAGAGGGATTATTCGGTCTCTAGCTAATTCCGAATTTAATTTTGTGCTTGAAGCACGAATTGAACCTCTGCATCTGCAAAAGGCAATGTGTCTTCTCCCAAATTACAGTGCTCAATCTTCAAACTACCTAAGAGCATCCCAAAGAAGAAAGTCAATCCTAATGAATCTTTAAAAATCTTCTAATCCAGGACATTGGGACAATAAATTATTAATTGTAACAGTATAGATATTGCACACATAGATAATTGGGGTTCATTATTGCATTTCCATATCTTAGAACATTTGGATTTCTTTTGTTCTGCTAAACCTCAGTGGACTGTTTCCCTTGCCTCTCTTTCAAGTCCTCACCAAGGTCTATGAATAAAACTCACAGAGGCCATGGAAGAGAAAAGAACCCAAGTCCAAAGAGAGAGCAATATTTCTGGTCTGTGCATTAGCTGAAGCTCTGCCAATGAGATCTCATCACTTCCCACAGGAAAACTCACATCTCCCATGACTGTCAGGCATCAATTTGATTTGACTGCTGTGCCCTTTCACTGTTCATAACAAAATTCACGAAGGAATTTAAACCTCCATTTTATTACTGTTTCCTCTGTGTTCCTTTCCCTTTGGCATGTACATCTAAAGTAACTATTGATAATCCAGCAACCTTTCCAAAAACATCCCAACAGAAATGAACTAAGCTTGTTTTGAGTCAAGATAAATGACAGTGCCCTGGCAAGTAAAGAAGGACAAAGCATCCCAGAGCCTTGCAGATCCTGCTATTGCAATATCCCTTCCATAATATCAGACAATGACAGCAATCAATGTTAATTAATGCCAAAAGGAATCCATATTTTTAAGACAGAAAAGCACTGTTAATCATTGGGTTATCATATCTATGGAATGATGCTATCTGGGAATAGACATATTAGCTGATAATTCTGGTCTCTCCATATAAAGCAGTTGCCCTTTCCAGTATATATTCTTATACATGTGCATAAATATTTACATATGTGTGTGTGTATGTACACACAGAAACACAGACAAAACTGGCAATAATTTAGCTGTAATAACACTTCAGCATAGCTGGCCCTATAAAATGGGCAAAAATGCCCAGTCTTCTTATTGCTTTTCCTGCCCATTACACTTTAAACCACTTATATATTCACAGAAACCATAACATTTTTATTACAAAATCCTCAGGCATAAGAAACGTTTTTATCTGTGGTGTCAATTCATTCCTTATTAAAATCTATCACTTCCAAACTTGGCCCGGAGTTTGAATTCAAAACATTGAACTTTGAGGCTAGTTATAACTTGGTTCAGAAAATGAATTAATTTCAAAGAACAAAGTCCATTTGGAGGAATGTTGTTTTTCAAATCCTTTTGGGTGGTCTGGCTTGTTAGCTGAATGTGCAGGGTGATGACACCTATGGCAATATATTACACTTGGCAATTGAAAGGCCAGCAATTTGTGATTACCAGGCACTGGAGAGTTCAGTCATCCCTGTGTGTGCATAAGACTCATTAGCAAGTGGGAGCTCCAAATATCCCATAAAACAGACCTTGAAATTCTAAGTCAGCAACCTCAATATCCATAAATGCCAGGCCTCACTGAACTGAGTGTTAATGGAGTTCAAGTCTGCATCTAATTGGGGGGGGGGGTCTCAAGCTACTCATAAATATTAATCAGACTTATTTTAAGGGGTTTTGTTTCCACTTCAGACACTTACTAAAGGAAATTAATGCCACTATAATTTCCTACCTTCATTCATGTGTGGACTAGATTAACGTGTAAATGAACAGCTGCAGATCTCAGCAGCAAAGTACATCATGACACTAGCAAAGACCAGAAAATGAAGTGTCACTGTGTATTTGACATAAAAAGTACAGTGTTTATTTTCTGTTTAACACATCCACAATCTATTTAACCTGAAAAACTCACAAATGACTACATGATTCCTACACTAAGAGATATTTTAAAAAATCTATAGCGCTGTATAATAAAAGAACTGCTTCATTTATAATGTAAGAATGAGCATAAGCAAGTGCTTGAAAAATCCATAGTTCAAGCAATCTTGAGTGTCTGCAGTATTCATTCAAAGCACACTCCAATAAATTGCAACATTCCAGCTCTCTCACTGGTAATCCAGCACTATTTACAATGGATTCAGGCTACAGTGCTCCCATCCCTTTGTGCTCCTCCTGGGTTTGTTCCTGTGGCTGTGGAGCTCTCTGCTCTGGCTGCTATTTGCACAGAAACATGCCAGTTGGCCATGTGGCCTGGACATCCCACGAGGGCCTTCCTTCCTACAAAAACTCCTCTGGCCTATTTCACACATTATCATCCTGGGAAGCACTGATAAACTGTCCACTGTGTCCCCTCAACAATTTTGTCACAATAAAAATTTCATTATCCAGACACAGAAACTATACAGTCTAAAGGGTAGAATTACATGCTTTTCCTCATCAGGGCCCTTAGCAGGCTGTGCCACCTCTCCCTGGTGCCCAGCTGACACTCCCACAGCCTGAGTCACTGGCTCCTGAGATGTCCCAGTTCTCTGGGACTCTTTTAGGGGAGTTACTGCTCTCCTCAAGTTTCTTTTGTTTCCGTGGCACAGAGGGACCTGCAACCACCAGAGCACTGGAACCCTCAGTGCTGGCTACACCTGTACCAAACTGCCAGGCCCTTGTATAGCAACAGCAGCTGCACCCAACCCTAACTCCAAAAAACATTGCCTTGCATTGCCAGAGTTGTCTGGAAAAATTAATTCTCTCATACATTTTGTTGTGTCATGCATCACAGCCATCCCTGCTCTGTGCAGCCTGCACATCCTGCAGGAGGAAAGGATGCCCTGTCGCAGTGGGAAAGCAGAGCTGCAGCCCAGCACCCTTGCTGCTTTGCTGGTTAAGTACAGCAGACCCCTGGTGTCAGCACTTCCCTGGGACTTGCATAAGGCCCGGGCCAGGAGCAGGTCACTGCAGGAGATCTCAGTGCATGTGTCACAGCAGAAGGTGCCAAAGGAGCTGGCTGCTGGTGACAGTGTCAGGGGCTCTCGTGCAGTGCCTTACCCTGAGGTTCAGCCAGCACAGCAAACTGGCATGTACCCAGCAGAGATGATCAGCAGGAGGGTTAAATATGTGCACTCACACTGCTCAGATGTAGGGCATCATCCTCACAGACCCTGGCGGCACTAACAGAATCACCTGCTTACTCAGGCTGGACAAAGGGTAGTTTTCAAATTTAGGGACACACTGTTCCATGTTTACTGTGGTAGAACTCCCCCTAAGTGACAGAGGAGCAGAATAGCACCCCACCACTTGGGGACTCTAAAATAAAAGGGTGTTTCCCCCTGAATAGTGGGGTCAGCAGCCAAATGGGTTGATGAGCATTTGGTTCAATAAGCTCATCAATTCCAATTTGACCCAGTTATACAATCCATACT